TATTCAAAGATTTGAGGCAGTGGCCATTATCTTGTTCAAAACAAATTTAAATTTTTATGTGTATTATTAATAAGATAACTGAAGATAGGTGGAAAAGTACATTTTCTTTCTGTCTTTAACAACTCTTTTAGAAATATTTTATTTTTTAATTTTTATTTTATGTGTATGAGTATATTGCCTGCATGTGTGAAAGTGCACCTGTGTTATGCAATGCCTGCAGATGTCAGAAGAGGGCATCAGAGACCCTGGAACTGGAGTTACTGACAGTGGTTACCTAATGTGGGTGCTGGGAATTGAACCCAGGTCCTCTGCAAGAGCAGCCAGTATGCTGAAATGCTGAGCCATCTCTCTGGCCCCAACTTTAACAACTCTTTATTACGGTGTTTATTCTATGCCAGGAGTGTGGAGTAGGTATTAGGGCTACAAAGCTAAGTAGGCCAGACAGACAGGTGTTACTCCAGTTTGGATATTGCTGTAATTATGGAAGAGTGCATAGGAACCTGACCCATCTGAATAGTTGATGAAGTTATGAAAGCTGACTGAAATTGATCTCTACATTGAGATTCACATCCTAAGGCAAAATGCCATGTCAGATGAAATGCGGATGTGTATGAGTAGAAGACGTTGTGTAGACACTGTTTTAGGTTTACATAATTGCTGAAATAAAGCAAGAGAGACCTCAGCAATCAGTTTATTAAGAAAGGTAGTTCAATATGATTTCCATCTCTTATACCTGTTAGGCATGCCTGTGTATTTAGTTTGTGCTTATATTGCTGATAAACAGATTACTTATTGTACAGATGTTATAGGTCAAGAAATCAGCCTGCTCATTGTGTTGCTGTTGTTTTTGCAGGAATTTCAGTGAACACTACCATGCTCTGTGTAAGGCAGTGAACTACCTAGCAACTGTTGACTGCATTTTCTCCCTGGCTAAGGTCGCTAAGCAAGGAGATTACTGCAGGTAATACAGGCTTTGCTTTCCCCATCTATCACTGTTTCAGGTAAAATGGCACTGCTTAATTAATTTTACCATCTCTGTTACAAAATACTGCAGCTCATGTGTGTTAGGCTCTTGGTAAAGCTGAATATCATACATGTATAACAATTTGATAAGTAAGAAACTACTTTCTGGTTTTATTTTACTTTTTATTTATTACTGAGTTCAGAGGTATTTGGTATAACTCTAGAAGTGAATATTACACTTTAAGTTTATGGAAGTTTTTTTTTTGAAGTTTGAGAACTCCTTTCATTGTTAGCTTTAACTTGAATATTTGGTAGCATGTTTAACTTCATTTTCAAGAACTTTATAATTTCAAATCTTGACCATACAAAAAAAAAAAAAGAAAGAACAGAAAAGATGGGAGAATTCTTTGCACTTTCCTGTTCTTTTTGAGAGCGCAGATTCATGGCACTGCTCATTGACCTCCAAACATCCCAGTATGCGTCATTCTCTCTCTTTTTTTTTTTTTTTTCGGTCTTTTGGAGACAGTCTCCCTGTAGCTCCAACTGGCCTAGAAGTCACTTTGTAGACCAAGCTGGCCTTGAATTCATAGAGATCCACCTGCCTCTTCCTCCCGGGTGCGGGATTAAAGGCATAAACCACCATCCCTGGCCTCATTTTCTTTTTTCAAAAAGTATATTTTTAATTGATTTGTGTGTGTATGTGTATTTCATATGGTGCATCTTAGTCCTCTTTATACCTCCTTCCCCCTCAACACCCTTCCATAGCCTTCCTGCCCCCACTAGAGTTCATGCATTCTGTCATTTATGTTAAGGCCTATTGAGTCTAGTGAGTGTTCCCTGACGACCCTCAGTGCAAGTTCATCCACTGGGGTCCAGTCAGCATATCTAGAGTCACTTAAAGAAAATGAGCTCTTCCTCACCCAATAAAATCAGCTGCCCAGTAGTTCTTTGTTGCGGGTTCTCCTCAAGCCAGCTGTGAAGACCCTAACCTGGATCAGGTCCCCTACTGATTAGGGGGGTCAAGAGGTATGGAGTCATGACACACAGACCCCGGGAGTCGGGTAGAAGCAAGCACTAGGCGAGGTGCTGCAGGCTCGTTTAATGCAGGAGGGGGCAGGCCTTATATTTCCCTTTTCTCCGCCCCCAAGTCCCTTTAGTCAGAATATCGTTTTCTGATTGGTCCATGCCACGCAGTCTGTCAGCAGTCACTGGGCTCCCAAGCAGGGTACGGAGGCGTGGGCTCCTTTTGGCTGGCTATTTGTGGACCAAGAAGTGAAGTGAATTCTCCCACTGAATCCCAGGGCTCTGGGACATTTCCACCCTCCTGCTACATTTCCACCCTTTTTCTTTAAAAATGACTGTCCAGTGAGAGCCTGTAGGCAGCTCCACCTTGGGATGACCCCAGGATCATGGACTGTGCCTGTCTTAGGTTGTCCTATTCGGGCATGAACCTTACCCGTCATTGGAGCATGGGCGTACATGTCCATGTCCTGGCTTAGGTTGATTCAGCCCAACAGGAGCTTACGCGTCATTGACTACCAGCTCTCCAAGGGGTTTCATCCCGGGGGATCAGTTGAGGTGGGGAATTGTCTGTAGGAGGCCTCGTACATTTGTGCAAGCCAAGTCTGTCGGGCTTCATGGGGCAGGTTGGAATCATCTTCGTGTATTGCTCTGAGGGCCTGATACACTGAGTAACTGAATTTTCTCTGACTGCGGGAATGAAGAACAAGGCATTTAAGAAGTAGAAAGAGAAGAATAATTATGTCTGTCAGGAGTAGGTAAGTGACGACCCAAGACGGGTCAAACAGTGCTTTTAGATTAGACCAGATTTTCTCTAAGAACCCTGAATATTGATGTCCAGCATGGAGGTGCGGGTATAATTTAGAGCAATAATTTGATTAGTTAGTAATATAGAGTAATTAAGAAACTTTTGATTCCAGTGGCCGTGAATATAGTGCACAAGTTGTAGGCATGCTTCAGTAATATCTGTACTTTATAAGGGGTGAGACAAAGTGACCTAAAGTGAGGGTCACAAGCTAACAGAGCCATGTCTTTGGTAATTGCCAGCTCTTCACTTAAGAGATCAATTTGTTG